ACTTAGGCATCCCCTAAGAAAGCATTTTGATAAATTCCACCCCTAAGGGGATAAATTAACGCGAGCGTAGTCGCGGCCAAAAGCTAGTATATTATATTTTGAAAAAATCGACTTTAGGTTACTCCCTTACAAAACGCCAATTTCTTAATGTAGGACTTAATATTACCACAGATAACATAATATTACATACAGATACCCCATCCCATACAAGAAAATGGTTCCTTCCTAACTCGGGCTATTCTTCGGGCTATTTTATTTCGCCACCGTAGCCGCTAGATGTCGCTAGATCTGAAGCAGTTCGGATTACTAGTGGGTGCTTAGTAACAAAGCATGAAAATAGATGGCAGTCAATTCTGTCTACATGACATCTGTTTTGCAAAGATATGTATATAATAGATATGTAGGTAACTGTATCGTGTACCTCATTAGGGACGATTCAAGATTCAATGTAAATGTGTAGGTATAATATCGTTAGCCGACACTCTGCAGATATGGCTTATGTGCCAATGTATATACCTATTATGTTATGGTTTATATTACATTCCATGCCTATTTTTTTGATATGTTGTAACGCGTCTGCGCTATACGTATAGCCTGATTTTGATACGTTTATACTCGTACGTATCAAAATCGGGCTATACGATTTTTTATTTCAATCGTTATATGTATGAGACTGATTTTAGCTACAATTAATTTACTGGTATATACCTCATGTATTCTACGATGTACCCCTCTTTTCCCTAATGAGAATTCCGCTATATCTTATATATAAATTTTGTATCACAGTGTTAGTTGCCATATTTCTCCCACATTTTGATGAAATTTGATATGTATACTTGCCAGGTCTGAGGTAGGGTTGTTATCTATTTTTTATACCCCTAAGTCATAGGGGTGGCCTACCCCGAAAAAATATTTTTTTGTATTATGGACAATTTTTTATTTATTTATAATGTTACATTGAAAATACATACACGCCTAAATTTTCACCCGTCTTTCACCAACCCCTATTTTTAATAGCGATATTCTTACAAATATTAAAATTCTAAGGTAACTCAGTCTGTCTGTTTGTCTCGCTTTCACGCCAAAACTACTGAATTGATTTAATTGAAATTTGGTAGACAGATAATGTAGACCCTGAGAAAGGCTACTTTTTAATGCGAAAAAGTATTGAAAGGGGAAATGAAAGGCTATAGATAGATGAATTTATAGATGATAGCAATATATAGCAACAATAAGTTTATTTGCGGACAACGTTATAATTTTAATTTTCATACTGCTTTCTTGATATATGATAGCGTAGCGGCTTTTGTATTGATTGCCGCATGCATCCTTATGTAAAGTGCGAATACTGTAACTACCATATAGTAATTTTTGTAGCTGTGACGTGGTCGTGTGGAATGAGTAGTCATGCTCACTAAAATGTCCAGACATGTGGCGGCGTGGTGGGCCGGGTCAATGGGCTCCCTAAAATATGGTCGAGCGCAGTGATGGCTGGCTCATCCGTCATACTCGTGAACGAGTGCTGCTTGTAGGGACTGGTCTGCTCTTATCACTACGACTGATTTAATCTTATTGCATGATTATATTTGACCCAAAAAATTAGTGCTTGTTGGTAGTTTGTATTCACACGTTTCGACTTTTAAATGTAAACTTACAAGGATTATTTAAAAGAGCAACACACAAGTTTCTTGCTATTCTTCTTGTGATGAGACAGCTTTCCGAACGAGTGGTAGATAAAAAACAAATTGTTATGACTATTCAAAAGTGCTTAAATTAAGTTTATTTGAATAAATGATTTTCTATTCTATTCTATTCTATATGAGGATATCGTAATTTTTAAAGTCAGATCTTGTAAGATTAAGTGAACAGGGTCGGTCTAGGTTTTTCATTATTAGAAATGTGTAACGGGGTAACACGTTATTTAGTGCGAAATTGTGTATATTACAATAAAATTTAACGAGAAAATATTATAATGATGTCACTGGGACACTCATTGCCTTACTACTATATCGTCCGTTAGTCGCGAACTTTCTGGAAACACGAGAGGCGCGCTCCTATTGGTCGGTCGGCGCGGTTACCGCGCGTGAGTAGATGAGGTAGACGAGTCTCACGGCGCCGCAGCGTAAGTACTTACTATACATACGTAGCATACATATAGGTGTTACAAATGTTTTTATTACGAGTAATATTACTCTGTTATCTAAGCAAGTAATGTGTGCTTATTTTGAACTTGATAACATTCTGAATTACTCGTATATCTTTTAATATTTTTAGCGGTATAAACCAGGTTATGTACTACTACTAGTATTGTTAGTGAGGGATAAAGTTGATGAACAAAAATAAAACAATATTCGTATTAAAAATATGTTCATCTAATATTTTTGGCATTATTTTTAAGTTTCTTCCAAATACAAGGGGTCTGACATGGGGTGTTATGTACCTACATTAAAAGATACTTTTTGAAATGTATGTACCTACATTAAAATATAATTTTTGAAATGTATGAGATGTATGAAAGAAATGTATGTACCTACATTAAAAGATAATTTTTGACATGTATGAAATGTATGAAAGAAATGTATGTACCTACATTAAAATATAATTTTTGAAATGTATGCACCGTACAATAACAATACACGTTAAACATCATACCACAGAGTCATACGCAAGTTAAAAACAAACTGCTATGATATTAATGAGAAAGGAAAATCAACTTTATGGTATTCGAGTTAGGGTCGATTTCTCTCTTTTTTTTTTAAATACTATTTTAATCTTACCAGTTGCCAGTATTCGAAGACAGCTACGATTCGTACTCGATATTTTAAATTATTATGTAATCGATTTTTCAGTACAAATGTAAATAACCAACGACACTAATAATGTACTACTATATTCCGTTCTTTGAAACGGAACACTGCTATAATACAAAATAATGAAAATTTACTGTTCACAACGACTCATTAAAAGCATCATCGAATAATGCGCTGTAATAAAATCCTGTTATCGATTATTCAAAAAAATCGATAATACATGTATTTATTTTTAATATGACAACACTTCATACATAAGTATTATTGGAAATAGTAGGTATTACTTGCTTGTTCGGCTATTTTTAATTTACTTAAAAAATTTTTATATGTTTAATATACAATAATAATATATTAAGTGCTTATTATTGGAAAATATAAAAAAGACATTTAATTAGGCCGATACAAATGACGACAATGCCATCTATGAAAGCATTTTGAAAACATTGAGCCCCATATTAGCACTGATTAAAGTGTAATTAAGTACTGGAAAATAACAAAATGAGTAAATATATGAAAATTACTTTTCTAAACGCATTATTTCATTTTAACATGTATATATAACTTTTTAAAAATTGCAATGATTAAACATTTTTGAAAACACAGTTTTGTTTTTAAAACGTTTGCAAAACTATGAAGAATTCCATCGATACCAATCACGCCATCTATATGCAACTTTTAGCAATAATAATGGCTACTTCTTCATTGAGTGCCACTGATATTACGAACGCGAAAGTTTATGAGTATGGATCGCTGTTTGATGCTCTTTCACGTAAAAATGGATGGATTTTAATGAAACTTTGCAATAATATAGCTCATACATGGCCTTCTGTACATAAAAACATTATCTATCTATCTAACGAGAGCAGGTGATATCTGCCATCGTGTTTTATTTTACCATACCCACAATTTGTGAAACCGTCAACTAAATTACCAACTGCGCTGGCAACAGTAGGTAATAAATACAATTTTATAGAACATACCATCGTAAACACGACTGTTAATGTAATTTACTGTTTTCCCATGTGTTTTAATATTAAACGTATACGTTTTATGGCGCAGTGGATCATTACGCTCCCTACAACTGAGGTGTTTAGAAGAATCCGTTTGAAATCTCCCAACTTGTTACAGTAATAACAATCTTGTAATAAAATGTAAATTAACATTGTATTACACCATACATGTAATTTATAACTAAATTCCTGGCGAACATACTAGTTGTATACCACGGTGATGACTGGTATTCGGGTAAAATATGCTGACCAAATTCGTGATGCAATTTATTTGCATGTTAAATTTTTTAAAGATTGTTTAGCAGTTTAGTTGTAAATAAAAAGTAATAAATAGGCAGATAGATATGTATTACATACTATCTGTGCCCGCGGTTTTACCCTCATGATATTTATAGCCTATATGTTATTCTGATGTATAAGCTATATTACTGCAAAGTTTCATCAAAATAACAATGATTTATATCTTCATTACAGACTGCTAGATGGCGCTGAAAGGTATGGTAGGAAAATGTTGATATATTATTCTTTTGTTTTTTAAATAAAAATATCCTATGTTAATTCTAATACTTGCAAGAACATGTGTACAAAATTTCATGAAGATCGGTTCAGTAGTTTTTGCGTGAAAGCGTAATAATTATCAACATTCCTACTTTCAATTTTATAACATTAGTAAGGATTAAGATGTAGCCAGCAGCATGAATAGGATAGAATAGAATAGAATAGAAAATCATTTACCAAATAAACTTAATTTAAGCACTTTTGAATAGTCATAACAATTTTTTTTATCTACCGCTTATTCGGAAAGCTGTCTCATCATAAGAAGAGAGAGCAAGAAACTTGCGTGTTGCTCTTTTAAATAATCCTTGTAAGTTTACATTTACAAGTCGAAACGTGTGAATACAAACTACCAACTAGCACAATTTTTTTTGTGTCAAATATATATATATATATACAATAAGATTAAATCAGTCGTAGTGATAAGAGCAGACCAGTCTCTACAAGCAGCACTCGTTCACGAGTATGACGAGTATGACATGCTTTGCAAACTGACATATTTGATGAGATTTGGTAGTGAAAACACGATAAACGCGCAAAAATTAATACTTTATCTACGTAAAAAGGGTCAAAACTCAAAACCCTAAATCAATGACGTATGAATAATAATGAGTTTAAAACTTACTTGTTCTGGTCTTAATCCAGGCGGGACCCAAGTATACTCCTCCAAAGCACACCCTGAGTCATCATCAGACTGTGAATGTCTGTGGGGATCGCCAGGCTTCATCAATCTCTCAGCATGCTCCAACAACCCCCTGAACTTCCCCTGGGGAACGGGATGGGGTGATAACGACATGGCTGATTGGGGAGATTGTGGAGATTGATGATTGTGACCGGGCTGGTTGATTTGTGACACGCTGTGACTGTGCAGAAGGTTATACTCTGGGTAAGTTTGATTCTGAGCTGGTTGGTGTCTCCGAAAGTTTGGGTATGAGTACGGGTGGGGGGAATTCGATTGGCTAGGTACTGAGGAGCCGCTGTGGCTCGGTTGTGGTGATGGAAGGGAGGGCAAGAGTCTTGAAGAGTTGATCGGTGATGATGGCGCTGGAGGCGGTGGTGATGACGTCTGCTCGTGGAGTGGCGGTGGGGAGGAGCCAGTGGGTGACACGACACAGTTTCTGCAGACGGGCCTGGAAAGAAAAAAATCATTATATTACTATGTACCTAAGAATTACTTTTTTGCGTATAGGCTATACACACACCACGTGTTTTTTATGTGTATGATAATGGAATGGTGCACCCGCCTGCGCTAACGGTTTACGCTGGCGGGGCACCAGTGGAGGATGAACATGAGATCAGGTCAGTTAAATTCTCTAAAATTTTCAATAATCAATCCTTATATACTACTTACATACTAAGTACATTATTCATCCTTATATGAGTGTATAATACATGTATATGTAAAATGTCTGTCTAAATATATGTAACTCAAAGGTGAGTAAAGGTGACTGACATACATAGTGATCTATCAACGCACAGCCCAAACCACTAGACGGATCGAGCTGATATTTGGCATGCAGGCAGATGTTATGATGTAGGCATCCGCTAAAAAAGGATTTTGATTAATTCTACCCCCAAGGAGATAAAATAGGGGTTGAAAGTTTGTATGAAACTTTGTCAATTTTAAACCAATCAGGCTGGGACTTTGCATGCATAAAGCTACTATGACGTAGGTATCCCCTAAGAAAGTATTTTGATAAATTCCACCCCTACGGGGATAAATTAACGCGAGTGAACCCGCGAGCCAATGCTAGTGTAAAATAAACGCGTTCTATTAATAAATATATTATTAGTATGTTTATAATTGAAAACTAATAATAATCAATAGACGGGATGCGTTTGCATATGTATTAGATGTTTGTACGCCATGTAGATAGTGGGGCGCGGCAGAGGAAAGTTCGCGGTGTCAGACTGGTTTCTTGTATTACCCGCAAATGAACGCCAGGGACGGATTCGTACCATTGCAAAAGTTAAGGGCCGTATATGTTTTTCTTTAGTCTGACATTAGTCATTAAAAAAAAAATCGTACCATTGCAAAAGTTAAGGGCAGTATTTGTTTTTCTTTTTTTTCTTTAGTCTGGCATTAATCATTAAAAAAAATCGTACCATTGCAAAAGTTAAGGGCAGTATTTGTTTTTCTTTTTTTTCTTTAGTCTGGCATTAATCATTAAAAAAAAATCGTACCATTGCAAAAGTTAAGGGCAGTATTTGTTTTTCTTTTTTTTCTTTAGTCTGATATTAGTCATTAAAAAAAAATCGTACCATTGGAAAAGTTAAGGGCAGTATTTGTTTTTCTTTTTTTTCTTTAGTCTGACATTAGTCATTAAAAAAAAAAAATCGTACCATTGCAAAAGTTAAGGGCAGTATTTATTTTTATTCTTTTTCTTTAGTCTGACATTAGTCATTAAAAAAAAAGTATGTACTTATGTATTGAAAACATGTACGATATTTATTTGAAAAGAAAACGAGCTGAGTTTTCGCATCTCGGTATCATACCGAACTGACTAGATTCGACTTATCATAAGAGTCTGTAATAGACCTACATGAATAAAGATATGTTGAATTTGAAATAGAAATAGAAATATTATTTATTCTTAATATAATTTATAACTTAATATAAGCACTTTTGAATAGTCAAGTTTTTTTATTCATTTGAAAATTTGAATTTGAAACAAAGATTGAGTGCGTAGCGGTTTCTATGTTGATTGTTGCATGCCTAATCCTTGTTTATATATATCTACATGTACCTACATCTACATGTATATAAATTATGTTTTTTGCTGCCACTTCTATTTATTAAAACATTAATATATTTTGCATTCGTATAAGTAAAGTATTTGAGATAGTTGACTCGGTGGTCTAGCGGTTTAGCACACAGATTTGCTTCCGATGTGCGGGTTCGATTCCTCGCACAGTGCAAAACATTTGTATTCATGAGTATTGTATAAGTAGAGTATTTAAGATGACGGCCTCGGTGGTCTAGCAGCTTAGCACTCCGATTTACTTCGGATGGTCGCGGGTTCGATTCCTCGGACGGTGCTAACCTCCGCGAGGCGGGTGTACCATACTATTATCATTCATTACTATGTAACTCTATGAACTATGGGCTTTTATGGCCCTAAATAATTGTGGTCCAGCCCTGTTCAGTCGATTACATGCATAGGCTGCCGTACCAATAAAATTAACTTTATTGACTTGACGCCGGACCAGCTTTTATAACGACACCGGATTCGAACTGAGGACTGTTCAGTTTACTGTTAACATTTAGTAACATGAGATTTCGGCGCACCTGCAATTATATACACAGGTATGTAATAAGTTTTCTGTATTAAATATAAAAAGGAAGCTTTAAATTCTAAGTTAATCATACTTTTGAGAGATAAAAGTAATCTATAACCCCATGTGTTACTAAATATAAAAAAGAAATTACTCAGCTTGGAAAAATAGTTCAAAATCGGATCATTTCAGAGATTAAACAAACAGACACAGACAAAAATCAAAAATAATATTTTAGTTTTGAATATTCATACGATGCACTATTTCAATATGACAAACAGACACTCCAGTTTGATAATGAAATGGTGCACCCGCCTGCGCTAACGGTTTACGCTGGCGGGGCACCAGTGGAGGATGATAAGATGAGCATAAGGTCAAAGTATTTTGACAATAGAGATAAATTCACCAGGAATTTATCACAATGGCTTCCAGAGAGGACCGCGTGGAGGCCAATCTTGATATATTGCTAGCAATGTATCAAGGTAGGTCCACATTTTTAAAAATTCCAAAGTCACTGCAGATCGCTAGTTTGTTAATGTTCAATAATTTACAATAGATTATAAACAAATTTATATATAAACCTAAAACCTAAACATAAATGAAGAAAACGATCGTCAGAGTTAGTTCAGCAGAAATATTTCATTACATACTAAAGTCAAGTCTTCTCGTCGTCGCTACCACAAAGCCTTAAGACTAAGGTTTATAACCAGTGCGTCCTACCTGTTATACACATACGGTGCCGAAACGTGGATACTGACGATACGACTGGTCCACCAACTCAAAGTCGCTCAACGAGCTATGGAAAGAGCTATGCTTGGAGTTTCTCTGAGGGATCAAATCCGTAACGAAATAATTCGCCAGAGAACTAAGGTCACGGACATAGCTCTTCGTATTTGCAAGTTGAAGTGGCAGTGAGCTGTCATATCTGTCGTAGAACCGATGCTCGCTGGAGTAGGCGTGATCTAGAGTGGAGACCGCGAATTGGCAAACGTAGTGTAGGACGCCCCGCAGCTGGGTGGAGCGACATATATAGGGTTGCGGGTAAAAAATGGAAGAGAAGAGCTGAAGATCGTGCCCAGTGGCGTGCCTTGGGAGAGGCCTATGTCCAGCAGTGGACTGCAGTGGGCTGATGATGATACATACTAAAAATTGAGAACCCATCCTTATTGAAGTCGGTCAAAAACAAACCACAATGAGTCAGCTAACCCGTCGCGACGTCGGCGGCTGCGGGCGGCCGCGGAGCCCGATCTCACGATTCGATACAATCGACCAGATTGAATCGATACATCACTCGATTGAATGTAATTGCTCAACGGATGCACAAGAGCATCCGTTAAAAACTATAAGGAATACCACTGTGAGGTTAATACCGATTCGTTTTACATTTTATTGTTTTATCGATGTTCGGTAATCTTTCCCATCTCACAAAGTATATTGCCGACTGCCGACTGATTTGATGGTGTTGTAAAAAATTTACGATGACCTCTTGTTCGTTCTAGAATGAATCTTATACATCATAATGTCTTCTACACCAATTTATATTATACGGGTAACCGCACATGCAGTATGCAAGTATGCAGGATACTGTGCAATACACATTTGCCTACACCTGCATTTCACCTCATTATATGACAGCCTCGGTGGTCTAGTGGTTTAGCATACCGCTTTACTATCCGATGGTCGCGGGTTCGATTCCTCGGACGGTGCAAACATTTGTATTCATGACTATATATATATGGGTACTAGATAATTTGAATCAGTTATCTAGTACCCATAACACAAACCCATATAAAAGTATTTTTTTTCGTAAATACATACACAGAAAACACCCAGACCGATACAAACAATCATACTCATGAATACAAATGTTTGCACCGTGCGAGGAATCGAACCCGTGACCATCGGAAGTGTGCTTAACCGCTAGATAACCGAGGCCGTGAAATCTTTCGTCAAAATTACTAGAAAGTAATTAAATTAACTAAATGATTGTTATAATTCAAGTCGGCAGGTTGTAAGTGACAAATTGGCCCCACGAACATAGCGGTCGGGTACAAGGTGACCATTTATTGTTTGATTCAAAATGGGACATTGGTTTATATAGGTTCAGGTTTATTAGGTCAGTTAATAAAAAAAAACTTTTTTAAAGTTAGCTTAATAATTTTATAAAATACTACCTCTGCCCGCGGTTTCATTCGTGTTAAATTTCAATGAAAAACCTATGTGTTAATCAATAATAAATAAAAAGTTTCATCAAAATCCGTTCAGTAGATTATGCGCGAAAAAGTAACAAATATCTATACACAGAAACTTTCGTGTTTATAATAGTATTAAGATACTCGATACAAGTACAAATTTGCATTTCTTTTTATAACGTAGGAGACAAGCGAGCATACGGCTCACCTAATGGTAAGTGATTGCTTTAATAAATGTGATAATTTTAAGCAAGAATGAAATTCTTCATATTTGATGATGATGATGATGATCATGATTTTTTATATTCATCTTTATTATCAACGTCAAAACGTCGGTTTTTCTACCAAGATTTTCGCGGGGTCTTCGAAAACGGGACAATTTTGCGTCCCAAAGTTCATTCCGGGGGCACGGGGACTTGAAATTAGAGATGTGCCAACTCGTGATAAACATGACTCGAGTTAACTCGAGTTGAAATTCAGATAACTCGAGTTGATTCGACTCGAGTTACCTGGAATAAACAGTTTTTTTATTTAATTTTTCGAACAATTATAATGTTTGGGCCGCAGCTGGCCTTGAGCTTTACAGAACCGTAGGTGGCGAGTAGAAATGGCACTTCAAGAAATGGGACTTCATGGCCGCGGCAGGACTTATGGAGTGCAAG